ACCAAAGAACATAGAATAATAACATGCAAAATTTAGACAATTTCCCCTAGCTATCACAATTTTTCTGGCTTTCTAACCATGTGAGAAGAGCCATTACAAAATCATCCAGGCTAGTCGTTATCTTTCCTGTGGGAATGAAGCTTGTACTATCAGGGATATTGATGATTCTCCATTCAGAAAACAATGTAATATCATTTGGCTTTCTATTAGTTATAGATAATATAGAATAAAACGTAAGAGAGAACTATTAACAAATCTTTAAAGAGAGGGTGTGGCAAGAGGGTTCTGATTTTCTATTTGATGACTCTGTAACGAAATAAAATGTAAGGCTATAAAAATTGTGGTTTGTCTGAGCAATGATGAATTTATATCGAGTAGTTTATCTTAAGTTCGTACTTATTGGAGGGGTGGTGAATATAATAGAGAAGAGGGGATGCCTAGAGAAAATGTCACACTTCTCACACCTGGGGAAATTCAGGATTTTTTTAATTATTGCCTTATAAAATTAAAAACGTAAAACTTGTATACTATTAGAATATTGATTATTAGCTGCAATTTTATGCTATACTAATTGGTGTAACATAAACAAAAAGTAGTTTAATAACATTTTGAATGTAAACGACTAAAACCTTCTGACGTGCATCAAAGGGTGCCTGTGGAGATAAGGTTAAAACCAACTGCAGAAACTGAACTTTAGAAGTAGAGATTAGTTTTTTATAAAAAAAAAGTTATATGTTTATTCTTTAAATATCAACTGGTAAATGAGTCAATGTAATCAGTTTTAGGGTTTTCCCTCTTTTCTAATTTATTTACCACCCCTAAGAGAAGTATAGAATTTAATGTAAATTACACATTAGAATATAGATATTACTCAGGCAAAGCATAACTTCATAACATTCAATCTTATTTGTTAACTGAGCCATAAACTAGAAAATCAGACTCGCTTGTCACGGCCACCTGTCACACCCTTTCTTTCACAGATTGCCAATAGTTCTCTCTGATGTTTTATACTATATACTTTATAACACATGGAAAACCAAAGTTATAATCATCAAATGACATATATTACATTGGTTTCTGTAGAGAGAATTGCCTATTTTCCCTTGAGTTTGAAACGTTTTCTCACAGTATTCACATTGACAAGCTTAGATGAATTTTTAAAGGCTCTCTTTGTATAGAAAGCCAGAAAAATTATGATAGGTATAGAACATTATTTGCTTTGTGCATATATTATTTTGAGTTCTTAAGTGCATAATTTAATTAAGTTAAAATTATTTAATGTAGTAGTACCATTAGTATTAAAGTAGACTTAATTTTCATTGAAAGTTAGCAGGAAAAAACAAGAAGACCCAGGTAAGTGCTATATTTCTTGTTTTCCATATGTATTCTATATATGTTATAAAAGTTATTAAAATGTATAAATTAAAAACTTGTTAGGTTAAATAAGGTAAGTGAATGAAAAATAATAAATTTTTCAGGAAATGTGCTTGCAAGCAGCTCATACATTACATAATATGGTAACATGAGCTGCACATTTGCCAAGTTATTTACAACTTGTGTGATGGGATTATTAGTTAGAGATTGTTCAAAGCACAATAAAACAATAACATTAAGTATAAACAGATGTATACTGTTATGAGCTTTAAGCTCTTTAGGATAAGCAATTGTAGTTTCATGTTACAATTTGCAGTAATTTATGGAAGAAAAAAAGTAATTTAGGTTTATTTCCTTTTTTGTGTGTGTGTGTGTGGTTATGAGGTCAGTGTATAGAGTTAGGGTAGAGAAAATAACAAAATATAAAGCTTTACTGAAAAAAAAATTTTTGATATTTATTTAGGTTTTAGAGATTACACAAATGAAAGTATTTTTAACCTTAACATGAAAATCAATTTACATTTGGAGCACTTAACATGTTGATTCCATGTATTCACGGACACATTTTTTGTAAAATATTTAATTATAAAATCTAATTTTTTGTATACAAAAGTCTTTTATTGTTTACTGAAAGCTTGCCAAATTTCGTGAAGGTACACAAAGTTATAGTATGAAAATACTACTGGTCACTTTGGGGTAATGAACTTGGTCAAATTGACTGAGCCCATTGTGAGATAGTTAATTCAGCATTCTAATTGTATTTTTTATTACATATGTTCGTATTGTGTAGTTAATCTGTGCTGTTTTTCATATAATTGCTATATTAGATTACTTAATAATACTTTTACATTGACACTGTACTTGATCAATCTAGGGTTAACTTAATCTTTCTAATTCTTTTATAATTATTTATCACCTTACTCAGAAGAAGTAACTGTTTGTTTCCAGTGTATAACTAATTGCTACATTCAAGATAATGAGATAACTTAAAATATATATATACTTTCTTCAGTATAAGAAAATTATTGATGTACGTATAGATTATTGTTGAGAAACCTAAGTTATAAATTGAGTTCGCTTTAGTTAAAAGTGTATTAGTGTTATAAAATGTTTATTACCAATCGAATTTGAATACCAATCTTTTGTTCTATTTCTAAAGCTTCTCCAGAATTTGATGGTAGTGATTTGTATTCTTTTTTGGATCATTTATAGTTACAACTAGTATCTGAAATCTATTATAATTTCTTCAGAGTTGATTTCTTGTATTAACTAGCTACTGCGTAAGAATCCAGAGAGGCGACTAGGAGCCAGTGAGAGGGATGCAGAGGATGTAAAGAAGCAAGCTTTCTTCAGAGTAGGTTTCACTAATGACTCAGCAAATTTTTGGGTTACACACCGCGAGAACAAAACATTGAATAATTTCCCAGTCAAAGCTATGATTGAAGGTGTTTAAATGTGGTTTAGGTATAACTTTTGCCAAATTATAATCATTTTTCATTTATGGTTTAACTGTGAACTTTCAAGTGTTGATTTGTTTCTAACCAAAAAAATTCAAGTACAGATTTAGGAATGTTAGTTGCCAGTTGTTTATATTCCTAAACATTGAGTTTTTTAGTGGCAAAAAAAAAGAATTGGTGTTACTGACTATGAAATATTTAACTACATGTTCTTTTACAATAAATGTGTTCTTAACTCATCAAAAACTAAAAAGGGAAACATACTTGTGATGATTGGTAAACAAGACTTATGAAAAATAACAATAGAAAGCTTGTAGCACTATATTATAGGTAGTCAACTTTTGTTGAAATGTATAAGCCAGTTAGCATAAGTCATTGCATCATACACACCTTATGGTTTTAATACAGTCAATAAACTTTTGTCCCATTCAAAATCAGTTTTAAAAAATATTTTATTTTTGTACTTTTTTATTTCTCATTAAGTTCAACTACTGTATATTTCAAGTGTGAAAATAAGTTACAACAGCCCAGGAGTGGTGCTAGCCTCTTCATGGTAAGGGGACTGAGGTGGACTAGGCAAATACATTGAAAGGGTAGCACTCTACATCTTGTAGGCACACATATTGTAATACTTAGGAAGTAAATCAGCTTTAACATTATGCATTTTTTGTTTGGTGCAGGAGCTACAGGTAAGACTAAATACATTTTGGGGAAGCTTCAGCCTCAAAAAGCTTTCCACCTTTGTATCACCACCCCCTGCCATAGCCATTTCCTTTTCTCGCTCTTCATAAAATCATGTTTGATCGATCAACAAAAACAAAAAAAGCATGTTTCTAATTCAGTACCACCAACTAATTATATAAAATAATTATTTCTAGGAGTACTAACTATAAATATGTTATACATTAATAAACCACAGAAAAGGGTTTATGAGATGCAGATTAAAGTAGGCAGTGCTGGATTTACTTGCTATGCTCTAAACAAGGTCAGTTGGAAAGATTCCATTGCATACTGAATTTTTTATTTATGATAAAGCTATCTTTTTTTTTTATTGTTGTTCTTGTTTTTTTGAGAGGGAACACTATAACATCAATGAATTAATGACAGCTTAATATTGTGGTATATAAAATATGCTAAGTAAGACTGAACCCATTTTAGTAGGATTGTGGTTAAAATAAATTGTAAAAAATTAAATTCCTACATTTCTTTCAGTGATGAACTTTGTGATAGGTACTTTTTCTTCACTGAGCATATGTAGACTAAGATCATTTCCACGAAAGGGGCCTAAAGGCCACCTGGAGAATCACCTGTTTTAACCACTCTCACCACTATATGATAGTGTGTTGTCTGTCCGTAGGCACTAAAATGATGTCACATAAGGGATACTTAATGTTGCAATTTGTACTGTCACGTTATCAGTAAAACGTGTGCAAGCCATGAATCACAAGAAGAATTACGCACTCTGTAAGCTACAACACACCATGACATATATCGTTGAAAAGCAAGAAATCAAAATACTTGTTATTTTCAATTTTGGTTTTAATTACTCTTGAAACAAAACACTTTCAGGGATCTGTACAGAAGTACATCTAGTATAGATTATTTAACAGCATTGATAGTTAATTCAGAGTTACTTTTATGATATTGTTTCTGAGTTAATATTATAAGTTTTATTAGATTTTCTAAAACGTAAAATGTTGTTTCTGATGCTGTGCCCGTGTTAATACCAGGAATCATATTACTAGTGTTATATATAATTACTTTATGGATTTAAGTCCAAGCTAAACATCAAAGTATTTTTATGAGACTTTTTTGAGAGAAGTCCTGCACTTTGTCTTGAAATCATACTGCTACATTATTCCATGACATGAGTAATATGTTCATGTATTTATTTCCAGATAAAATTATTAAGCTTAATAATCATGTATGAACAGCTTTATATTAAAGGGTGAAGGTTATGGTCTTAGTTACTCATGGTAACAGCAAGAAAAAAATATCTTCGTAAAGGAAGCATGTGAATATTGTTCCCTTTGTGAGAACATTGTTGTTTGAATAATCTATATAATAGTACTGTCTTTTGTATGCCCATGTAACTACTTTGCAGGGTGTGGATGGAGGTTCATTGGGTCCATTCGGTGGGGTTACATATAAATTTCAAATTTGCAATTTTTATGGACATTTTTTTACCACTACCTCACCTCCTGTGGATCTTCACTAAACTTGGTATGGAGGTGCATTGGGTCCATAGGGAAATACATACAAATTTTCAGTTTTGCAGTCTTTATGGGCATTTTTACAATTATGTATAAGGGAAGCAACTTTTCTTGTCCTAAGATGACATTTAATTAAACATGAATTTACATAACCTCCATCTAGGGCACGGGTACTCCGGCTAGTTTTTAGTAACATAGGTGTAATAATATTAGTTTAAAAAAATTAATGAATCATAGTCTTAAGAAACATTTAGTATAAGATATTGTTTACAATCAGAATTTTCTTCATCATTCTTGAATTTTCAGTAAAAATATTCAGTTACATTTTCAGAATCACCAAAAATTAATGAATAGGTACTGTTGAATTTCAGCATATTCTCTGGGATGACCTACTTATGAGAAGATTAAAACCTCCTTTTGTTCCTGTTTTGGTAAGTGTTATTAAGGTTATTTTTTCTTGCATAAGTACAGTTGTTGTGTATGTTATGCATGAAGACAAATATTATCTTGTCGTGCTTCTTTTCTTTATTTGGTGAGTTACCATAAGGTAAAGGAAGTCAGGAAATCCTAATATGTTTCTAAATTTATAGTTTAAGCTGTTAAACTTACATTTTTGCCTTTAAATAGCACTGATTTTGGCTGGTATTTACAGAGATCCCCAGAAGATGTTAGCAACTTTGATGAAGAATTCACCTCAGAACGTCCAGCATTAACACCACCAAAAGACCCCCGTATGTTAACAGCAGAAGAGCAGCAAATGTTTATAGATTTCACTTATATGGCTGACTGGTGCTAGGCCTGACTGTAGGGAAGACATACACAGTGTGCCTGGGTAGCTACTAGGTTTGCAACCTTCAATCTGTTCTCAGGATCCATCCTTAATAAACTGGACCTGCAGGTCACAAAGCAGCTTTTTGGCCTTTCACTAGGCCTACTCATGTGGACAGGCTGTATGTAGCACTGGTGATAAATAACGTGATTTGTGCCTTCAGAAGTTCAATTAATATTATGAATTGTTCAATGTCTTCCATCCATGGTAGCTGTCTTGTACATAATGGAAGATCCATTTGAGAAGCTTTATTTTTCTCAGTTTGCTTGAACAAGGTAGTTATATATATATATATATATATATATATTAGTCTGGTGAGATTGGTTTCAATCATGATGCATTTAATATTGATTTCTGTCAGTGTACACTTATACTAGTAAATAGGTTACAAATTGGTAGTGCCTTCAGTATCAATGTTTAAGTAAAATGTGCATGAATCGGCTTCTAATACCACTTTCTTAACTTCCAAAGTAACAACAAAAAAAATGGGTTTTGCAAGCTAACATTTTTATGTAATAATGATTTTGTTTGTTTTTATTGAAGAAACCAAACAGACCATTTTTTTAGTATGTAACAATTTTAGGTGTATTTGTTTTCTCACCTCTACAAAGTGCTTGCAGTGCCTCATTTGTAAATTAAAGCTTTTTAGGCAGTGATTAAGAGAAACCTATTTCACATAATAAGTATTGTGCATTTAGTGTTTAAAATGTGATAGTTTTCATTTGAAAGGCAAAGGTTTGGATCCAGTGTTTATCTGCAGTTTGGATTCAGGGATAACACTGATTGCAAGTTAGATATTCAGCTTAAATTCTTTACCTTTTAATAGTTTCTAAACAAACCTTTTTCTTTCTGTTTCTGTCGATTACTATGCATAAAAATAGGTTTGTCAAAAGCTCATAATACCGCTGAAAAGAAATTGTATGTAATGTTTGATTATAATATTTTTTTGCTGTGATGAGCCAACTTTGTATAAGGGTTAACTGCTTTATTTTTATTCTCATTTTAAATTAACATTCATTAAACATTATCAAAATTAATTTCATAGCCTAATAAGTTATTTTTTTTGTATTGAAGAATCTTTACGTTTTACCATTAACAACATATTCCTTTAAGGAAATATTCATTGGAAAGTCTAATATAAAGCCAGCTTTGTGTATAATAGTAATCAACAGAGTTATGTCACAGATATAATATCCTAAAAAATAACAACGAATACTAATCTAATCAATGAGAGGAGTGACAAAAAATTGGAAGTAATAGGCTCTCGTAAGTGTCTTCAGTGATGTTCTTCAACATGAGAAATTCGTCCATGATGGGTGCACGAGGGATAAATTTAAACCTATCAGTAATATCTGAACTAAACTTTATTTTAGTCTGTAAACATCTTGGGTACAGAGTGAGGAAAATATTTTGATAATGACTTTCTGCTACTAAAAAACAAGGCATAATTTTTCTTACTCTTCACAGAAAGTGAAGAAAACAGTTTACCAAGCACAATACATCATATTTCTTTGGGTTGTTATCAACATGTTTTTGTGCCAAAATTATCAGTATGGGCCTCCTTAGCCAATAACAGTGTGTGTGTGTTTGTGAAGTTGTAGTATTAATTCTTAAACATAGTTAATCGACATTTGCCCTTTTTGTAAATGCTTATAAGTGTAACCAAACTAATTGTTTCAATTTTTGTTCACTAACCATAAAAAAAAAGGAAGGTTTGATGATTGGTTTTATACATGGAACCAACGTAATCAAAACGTCTGTCAAAAATTTGTATTCAACCAAATTTTTAACATGAAAATATATAAAGGTGAAAGTTCCAATGAGTCTATAGGGCTAGAAAAAGTAAAGATAAAATTTTCTGTTAATACCAGGTAATATATAATTTCTCCAACATTGTATATTATTTTTAAAATAAAAAAGAAAATAAGAATATCTTGGTTTTGAAGTAATTTCTGCCTTTGCAGTAGGTATTGTTTACCTTTAAATGTTAGTGTATAAACCAGGTAGATGTGGTGTTGTGGCTGATAAGAGGGTACAGATTTACTGGTTAGATGTTTGTGTCTCATTTGTTTCCTTGGGGTTTTTTTTTGTATAAACCATTTAATATTCTTGGAAAAATACAAAAATATTTTATCTTTAATCATTTCCCTTTAGACTTGTTCACTTTCACCTGTTACTTTAATATGATCAGTATTATTTAGTTTCCTCTAATTTGAGGAATAATACAAGTTAATAACTTTGTTATAATATCTTATTTTGTTAGGGATATAGTGAATTGAAATAAATGCATCGTGTAATTTTACAGATAACAAGTAAAAATTTAAAACATGCATGTGAATTTTTTTTGCTTTCTCTTATACCATCACTTTTATTGGTTTCCCTAACAACTAGGTGATGAGATGTATACTTTTTAGTGTTGTGTTCTGTGTTGCATTGCTTTAAGACATATATGTCAAGATAAAATAGCAGTGATCAGTTTTCATTAAGTTACAATATTTATGTGTGTATACTACTTTTGTGGTTGAAACAACATAGTCACATTCAAGAAGACCAACAAATGGACTTCACTCTATTCTTAGAAAGGCATTCTTCAGAATTTTCATTGTTTTGCTATTTGACTACTGTATAGTTAGAGTGGAGTTTATGTTCCTGTCACTTAATCTTCCTAAAGCTTAACTCTTGTGTTGGCTTATCAGGTTAGTTAGAAATTATCTTTTTTTTTTTCTGATAGTATTTGTTTTCTTGCATTAACTGAAGAAGAGTTGTAACAGGATTGAAGTGTATTTAAATACAATTCTGCTTCCGGAAAAAAAATCCATTGAACTAAGATGTCCAAAACATTTTATTGCTAGCCTCAGTGTCATGTAATGGTTACAAAAAAAAATTGTTTTTGGGGCATAATGTAACCAGTCTATTCTTTTTTAATTTAGAAGAGTATTGCATTAGAATGGTGCTTTTGTAAGTGAATTGGCAACTAGACTGTGGGATATAAGATTGCAAAGCTTAAACAAGCTCCAGCATGGAACATTTAATAAAACTAATTCGTAAGGTATGGTCCACACGCAAGGTTGGAGTTAACACACTATAGCTTTTCGTTCATGCACCAATCAACAAATGTCATTTATATAATTTATTTAGATAATTTATTCATGGACCCTTTGTTTCCACTTTTTCTTCTAAATACAGATTTTTGACTGTCATCAATTTGAATGAACAACTTCATGACAGCCCCCTCCCTCTAAGAATGTGTGTTGGTAAACATTGTTATTATTGGTCCAGCATGTTGGTTCATATTGATCTGTGTATAAAATAAATTGTTTTCTTCCTTCATTATGAAGATGAATCAAGATATCGCATCAAATTTGGTTTATTGTAGTTTAAGTAGTATTACTGTATGCATGACTGCATGTGTATACAATGCATGCACTAAAGAAGTATCTTGTTACAGTAAATGAGATGTGTTTTTACTGTTTATGTAACAAAATATTTCAAATTTCTCTGCCTAACAAACAACAAGATTGAGTTTTAAGAATTGTGGTAAATTAATTGCATATCCATTACATCAAATTAATTTTTACTGTATAAGAAACATTTGATAATGAATTGATACTTCTTGACCATATTATGTGTTAATCAAAATAAAGAAAAAATTTCTGAATAGTGGAACATTATCTTATCTTACAACAAATGTTACAGTATAGAAAATCAGTGTTTGGTTTCTCACACAAAAGTAATTCATTTTACAAACACTTTGGTAATGTAATATCATTTGTTTGTATGTGTTAACACACATACACAATCCTTAAATCCTGTTGGTACAATAGCAAGGGGCGTAATGTGAAACATCACATAATAAAAATGGTTTTTACTAGTATTATTTCACTTTTTTTTTTCTTTGTGCCTGATTTCATAAAACAAACTGCTGAACAGTAAAATATTTATACAAGTTTTATAAAAATACCTTTTGAAAATAAATACAAAAATGTATTAGTATAAAGAAATGACTAGGCTGCTGAACAAACACCACACTTTCAGCTTGTGACAGCCACTCTTGAAACAAATGTGTAGCTTGTAAGTTCTACTAACTGTTACCCTATGTATTAACATGGGTTAACAGTGAAAGTTAAATAAAGAAAACATTACTTACACTAAGGATTTTCACATTATAAACCCAAGAGATTATCACCTGTATTGATACTTATTTCTCACTTTACAGTCAAACAGGGACTTGCATAATTGACACACAACTACAATGCTTAGTATTAGATGCATCTATAATGAACCTTTTATATATATATATAAAAAAATACGAAATGTGTGTTTGTTTGCACCCTAAATCCTCCAAGTTTATTGGGCTAATCCCAACCAAACTTTATACGTAAACACTATGAACTATGGGGAATACCCTAAGGGGGTAAAAATTGAACTTAACCCTATTTTTATTTTGTAAAGATTTTAGGTTAATTACTCCCAGCCTTTTGAATCAATTTCAAACAGTCTTGACAGGTTGACACTTTAGACAGTGTTGAAGGGGCTGTAGGTCAAAGTATGAAAGTTTTTGGATTGTTTCTCAAACAACCAAGGTTTTCTCATGATCAATGAGATGTAGGATGTTCAAGGGTGGGATCACCTCAAAATCTTTATTTCTTGTTAGATGGAAAGCAAACTACACATTGTTTATAAAGAAGCTTTGTTATAATTGTAAAGTTTGAGATAATGTTCATGTTCAAGTTAATACTTTGAAATATATGATAGTTGTTAAACATTCCCTGTCAGTTGTTTACCATCTTTGAATCTGGAAAGATGGTTTACAAGACATGTACTAAAATAAACTTTTAATATGTTTACTTTGATAAAGTTTCATACAGATATAATAAAATTTAGCCCTACAAATTTTAAAAATACACATTTGCAAATAAAGGGCCCAGGATCCATGTAGATAGACAGAAAGTTGAGTATGTTATATTAAGATGATTCTGAATATGCAAATCAGCAAGTTATGGTGGAATTGTATGTATCATAACAATGTTATGGCATTGTTTGACATTATGTAGGTAGTGTGATGCCACCTAAAACTGAATGGTTTTGCAAAGGGTATGTAACAGCCCTTTCCAACATAAAATATTCATACACTTAGATCATAAATATGTGTTGAGAATAGGGATTTAGAATTCCCAAGACTGGGATTAGGACACTGGAAAGTCATACCCCAACCATGGTAACCATTTTGTAACAGGTGTGAACTAATGATCACAAAGGATCTCCACCTGAAAAAGCAATATGTCATGTTTACATAACTTGCCTCCATGACATGCAACCATTGCATATCTCAAGCAGCAGGAGAATGAAATAGGAATTTATGCTGTTCCACACAAAAATATACCAGTCAAGTCACTGGATGCAGTTTCAATCGATTTCTGTGATCACACTGTCGAAATGGGTGGTGGAAAACCATTTTCCTCGTACATTTGTTGGATTAAGAAAAGTAAGTGGGAAGACATGACAACCTTGTGTAATGGAAACTATGCTGCAGAGCTATTGTCAAGATGCACAGTCATCGGACATGAAAACATGGATTCTATCATTTGGTTTGAGCCTCCAACATTGCTTTAATATAATGTACTCAACTTCCATATTTCTAACAGTGTATGACTACAGTAGAATATAACCAAACCATGGTTATGTTGATGAGAAAAATTATGCTAAAATAATAATCTAAATTCTAGCTTTGTCTTGAACGACAGCTCTCACCTTTTCAGTAGGATTTAAGAAAGGCTTTCACAAAAAATTAAAAAAAAAATTAAGTGGCAGCAGTGTTGGCAGTTCCTTTTCCAAAACACTACAGTATAATAGGGTGTTTAGCAGCAGGATAACAATGAGCATTGATAATTATAGTTCTCCACATAAAACATTGCAATGTATTACTTGAATGGGCACGGAGTTGGTTCATTCGACTGAAAAGGAATGTCGACTGTAATCTGAATTTACTACCACAAAATAGTCAAATGTACAAGTCTGTTGTACACAAAAATTAAGATGTATTACAAAAGTATTTTTACTCAATATGTGTCTATAAATTAACCATGTCAGTCTGGCTCAAATAAGTTTGAATGTTATGTTCATGTGAAGAATAACAATACTTTTCTCCATTGTACAGTTTGCATATTTGCACGACCTCTATAACCTTTGAAATGCATTTCTACAATTTTTTTCAGTGTCCCTATATTTTGTATCAGGTATTTACTCTCCTCTTCCATGAAGTGTATGGTAAAATGACATAAAGTATATGTTGAATAGCACTTTCTTAAAAGGTTGTGGCATGTGCACATAGGGTTAATGAGAAGTATAACTGCTGACTAGAAATCAACAGTTCTTCTAAGATCTAAAAATTGATGAAAGATCTAGTAATGTAAAATTCTAAACTGTAAAAAAAAACACTTGAATTTCACATAAATTTTTGTAATTTGAAAAACCCTGTTTATGATGAACTATACTGAATATGGACTTAATAAAAGTACACAGAAAAAAAAATGTAAATACTTCAAATAACACAGGCCTGTAATGGTTTTGTTTGATATTTTTACGTGTTCTCCAGTAATTCCTGAACGCCGAGTCTGAAAATGATATTCATTTTTCTCCATCATGAAGATAATTTTTACAAAACATCATAATGTAATACAAAAAAAGAAAGACCACAAAAAAAAGGATGCATATTTGTTTGACATCAATGTTCTTCAGTTTGTTTGCAGTTTTGTTAACAAACATAATAAAAAAACGTTCATTGTGGTAAACAAAATAATAATGTAAGTAAGGGTTGTTTTTTTTTCTTCCAAATTTGTAAAAAACCCTTACGTGATAGAAAAAAATGAATATTATTTTCGTAATCTGCATAGCTGAATTATGAAGAAATCCGTTATTAAAACCAAAACAACTTTTATGAAGTTTAAATTTGCAGGCCTGTGTAATAATTTACTTATTCCTTAGAAGAAAAAAAGATCTCGTGTATTTGTGATGGTACGTCCTAATTTCCACTGCTGTGTAACTAAAAAAGAAAAATATCTTGTTTCCTTGTGCGGTAGAACTTAATACATACAAAAACATTTTTAATATCTTAAAATTAAATTGAAAAGTTATGGTTAAGTTATTTTGAATTATACAATGAAACTTTTCCATAAAGAACTATAGCATGTGTGTGCTGGAAATGAGAGGTAGATACACAACAGTATTTATTTTTAAAGCATATGGCTGCCAAGTATAACTTTGCAAATGTTTTCTATGTTGAATAAACTTCTCTCTGTTACCAAAGAAAATTATAAACCAACTAGTGAGTTTATAAATATTAATACTGCTTTTAATTAACAAGTTGGCTGAGAAATACTTAATTTATTAAATAAACATATCAACTTACATTTCAGAGCTACATTAGGCACATTAAATTGTCTTTATAATTTATAAATATATGCCACGTTTTAATTAACAGCAAGTTTGTTTTTTTATAAATATACACAAGTATTTAAAGAAATTCATTCCTCAAAATTACAGTTGCCAAGTTATATTAACTTGTTTGTTTATTTAGTAAATTGCTATACTGCATGTGTACAGTTAAGTTTGTTTGACAATAGACTTATCTCAAAGACTTTATATAATGTCAATATATAAAGTGCTTGGAGACATTAGTTGGTAAATATGACAAATAACACACTTGGTTTTTGATCCTATCTTGGCAGGTTTTATTCAATTAAGAATAAAATTTAAAAAAACCTATAACCAAAGCACTTTCAAAAGGTTGACCTTTCTTCTTCAGGGGCAGTATTAAGACTTCATGAACCTACATGTTTTTCTGACATGATTTATTCAATGAAGGATAGAAACAGCATTAGGATGTTCACACTTCAAGGCGTAACAAGTGGTCTGAATGGTGTTTCTGTCCTTGATTGAACAAAAGCTGCTAAAGTGGGATCTACGTTAGTTAATACAAACAACATGCTGAATTAGTTACCTTTGGCTGACAATAACTTTGAGTAGATTTAACTTGTTGACTGTAACATTGCAATTTAAAGGGTGCGACCTATTAAACGAAAATACAATTTAATATAGAATGCTAAATTTAACTGTAATTGAAAGGTGAAATTTGCTAAATACTCCTGCATATATACATAAAATCATATAATTGAAAGTGTGATATGTATTTACAGACTCAATTCAATTTAACATACTGAACATAACTTGTCAATATACATTTACAAACTTAAAAATAAATGTAAGATATTCATGGTACTATAAATGAAAGGACTATAAAGAGTGTAAAGTTACACTTGGCACACTATAACAGCACATTTAAAAATACAATTCACATGAAGATACCAGTTGTGAGATAGTTAGCTAATATACATTTATATTAACAACTGGTGATGAGGCTAGACTCAGCTGTGTGCTTGAAGTTGAATTTTGTAAGTAATACAGTATTTTTCAATGTTGACAAAATATAAATTACATATTTTATCTTAGTTTTGAAAATGTTTGAGATCTGAAATTTTGTTTCATACTTGCATGCTGAATACCTTAAAAACAAATCTTAATACTTGGTTAAAAAAATAATTGAAGTATTCATAATTGACTTTACCTTTCAAATAACCAGAGATAACTCTGCAATTACCTAAACTAAATAACTTAAGATTTTTTAAAACAGCCACTACATATCAATTATATAGAGAACAAAAAAAGCATAAACAGGATTTTAAAGGTTGTTTTTATTATTAGAAATAATTTACCCATGTTATAAAATTACATTGTAATATTTTACTTATCTGATTTGTGTATGTGAAATTAAAAAAAGAATTGTTTTTGCATTACAAATAATTTATTCGTCTTATGAATTTATAAAAGAAACAGAACACTACAAATTTATGAAAGAAAAAACTGCTTAAGCATTTTAGAAAAATAAATAATTACACAGAAACTTTAATGGTTTTGGCATAAAAATGTATTTTTTTGTATTAAAAAAGTCTCCCGAAAATTCCTGAGACAATAAAAAATCTAACTTAAAGCTTTAGTAAAACAAAAACACAAAACTGTGCAGGGAATTCAAATTAACACTACTTTAAGTTTAATAGTTCAACAAAACAGAGAATAAAACAAAGAATCTGCAAAAATTAAAGTTAAATAAATAAATAGATCTGATTTTTGGTTAGCGGTAGTGGCAATGAGGTTTACCTGTATCATTGTTTTCTCAGCATATGCTCTTAAAACTTTTCCAGAAGGTGGATGTGTGAGGTTTAAGGTTATCGAGTCTATTACAGAAGTTGTTCCAATTATCATTTTGCTGGGTATTAATTAACTTTCTATTTCATTTTTGACTGAGTTAATTTGAGATGTATGTCCATGTAACTACTTCTATATAAATATAATAGTACTGTCTATTGTATGTGCATGTTTTATCTGTATCTAATATTGGAATTCTCTAATAGCAACAGTTTATACATAACTGTGAGCTTGTCAAATGTGCAGGTTGTCATCTTTCATTATTACCAAACCCATCTCAATAAATATATATTCTATGTGTTGGTAGTAAGGTCATTGTATAAAAGTTGTTTAATCTTATTATTATTATTATACTTGGGCTTAATATTCATTACATAAAAAATTGCTGCACCAAATATCTTCAATGTAGCTCAATTATAAAAGGAAAGAAAACTCGTGTAAAGTTGTGTTTGTAAAACAGGGTAAATATGTTGTACCAATATTGAAAATAAATCAAGTGTGTATACTTTATATTTATACCAATAATGTGCATTACCTAACTTATTTAACCCCTTTCTTGATTTGTCCAAGGTAACTCAGGTGCCTTCCATGTTTTAAAAAATATATGCCCGAGTTAATATATACAAATCATTTGTTACTGTATTTTTAATTATTTGCATGTATTACAATCAGTGCTCAGTAGATGACATTGGAAATGCTATTTGTGCTGGTCTATATCACATTTATTCTGAATTATGTATTATAAACACTGGAGAAAAGCATGCCTTTCTTTACCATAGTTTCATTGAAATAATATGCATCACATATAAATCCTTTTATTTATAGCATATATTTTCTGCAGAAATATAACAACAGATCATGAAAGAACTTTTGTGTCAGAAATATATAAAAACAGAATATCAAAAAGTGGGATAAAAAAATGACATTTTTGAGCTCATTTCCAAAGAAAAGCCTGACAGAAAGGATTAAAAACTGATCAAATGTACATAACAAAACTTCCCCTGCTGGGACAGCGGTAAGTCTTTGGATTTACAATGCTAAAATTAGGGGTTTGATTCCCCTCAGAGGACACAGCAGATAGCCCCATGTGGCTTTGTGCTAGAAAGAAAAACACACACGTAACAAAGTCGTATGTTTATAACTTGAAAAAAGTGACAAAGGAAACAAATTTGTCATTAAACAGACTGTACGTATGGCTAATAATTTAAATTCTTCAAGATGATGTTCAAAATACAAGATTTCATTTTAATACTAGACAGAAATATTGTTAGAACCTGAACACAACTTCAATTGTTTTTATCTGTATCTATAAAAACATCAGAATATTTCTAAACTGTTCTAACATATCTATGAAATGTTCTCTAAAATTGTTTTGTGCTTTTTAACAGAAATAAAGTTACCATAGTAACTAAATTCATGTGAAATTTCATTTGTAAGATACCAAAACATCTAGTACATGCTGAATTACTATCTCAAAAAGTACTTTCATAAGTAAAATCCAACATGAAAACTCAAACACTGTTATTGCTTTTTTCTACCATTATAAATAGTGTCTCATCTATTACTATATTTTTCACATCCTAGCCATCCTGAAGAGTCCTGGTCTTGGATGAAAGGCATCTTTGGCACTGGATATAGTATAGTTCAGTTTATATACTATCATACACTTTCCTTTACATTCACTCAGAAGTTCTTACTAATTTGTAAAAAAAAATTCAGTTTTCATACAATTCCCTAGAAGTATTTATTGCTAAAGCTCAGTTTTATTAGTCACTTCTACATTTACAATTCTTGTACTAAAGTAAACATCATTAAACTTAACATACAATGTTTAATAAGTATGTTACTTGAGGTAGCTGCTTTTCATAAATTCTCTTTCGACATCCTCATATGAAAAGGTAGCTCTAAAAAACAGACAAAAAGAGTTAATTTATAAAACCAACCCTCTATATAACTATTTGTGTACCTCTATAACATTATCATATTTTTTTGTTCATTAGGCTGTTGGTTAACTACTCAAATATTGGTCTATAAAGAAAAAAGTAATATCAAGAACTGAGTGGATTCAGTAAATTTGCACTAGAAAGCTATTTTAAATGCATACTTTTAACATTTGACAAGCACATGTGCAAAAAGCATTTCATTTGTTTCTACTTTTAAGAAACCAATAGATGTTGCAAGCTAATAACCCACTTTTACAAACTAAAACTTGTTTGTTTGTTCAGAATGTTGTGCAAAGTTACATAAGGGTTATCAATACTAATTTTGAACTAATAGACTATCAGATGCCCGCCCCTCTAAATGGAGAATAAAGCTCTTAATGCAAACAAAAAACAATGGCATCATATCACTGTTGTGTTCCAATGTGCAATAATGATGCACGATACAACACAGCTTTCCTACAAATTCTAACAAAGGGGAACAGTTGCTTATAAAAATCTGACACAAAGAAAGACATTCGTTTAATGCCAAACTGAGCTGCAAATTTACATAGGCCTATCCTAATACTAGTAATATAGCCTGGGCCTACATGGTAGGGCTTTATGAAATTTTAAACATATATATGAAATTATAGTGCTAAACAGGCCTTTGTATTCAATAGTCCTAGCTAATCTACATTTAAAGACCTAATATTATCTATATAAATATAATAGTACTGTCTTTTGTATGTCCATGTAACTACTTTGCAGGGTGTGGATGGATCTTACCAAAATTGGTATGGAGGTTCATTGAGTCCATAGGGAGATGCATACACATTTTCAGTTTTGTATTTTTTACCACTACCTCAACTCATGTGGATGGATCTTCACCAAATTTGGCATAAAGGTTTGTTGGGTCCATGAGGAGATGCATACAGATTTTCAGTTTTTAAATTTTTATGAGCATTTTTGCACTTGTTACCACTACTTCACCCCCTGTTGATAGATCTTCATCAAATTTGGCATGAAGGTTTGTTGGGGCAATGTGGAGATACATGCAAATTTGCAGTTTTTATGGGCATTTTTGCATTTTTTTACAATTACATATAAGGGAAGCAACTTTTTATATTCTAAGATAACCTTTCATTAATCATGAATTTACATAACTTCCATCCAGGGGACGGGTACTCCAGCTAGTAGTGAACAAAGCTCAAATTAGCCAGTTAACACAATATAGCCTTGGCCTATTAGGCTTGTGTAAGTAGTAAAGAAATATTTACAGGTAACTTTGAAAAGGCTAAATAATGGACCCATCACTTATTTTATATTTACCATGCTGGGGGTTCCCTTTGCTCTCTCCCTATCATTCTATTTTTATTTTTATAGGCCTAGCTGCCACCCCCTTAGGTTATAAACATAGGATTTTCCAGACATGCAGTTTTTAAGCCTATGTCTATGACACAAAATGTGGAAGATGACCCACCTTTAATATGTATGACTTATGGAAGAACTTATAGCCTTTAGCGAGGTGTTTTGTAGACACTTTTGAATGATTATAGTAATGTCACTCCATGGAATATCAGGTACAGCAGTTAAATTATTTGTCCTTCTAGGATCCCTCAGACATTTATTTGCAGTTGCCATTGTTTGTTTACAATAAACCTATATGCAATGTGTTAAGAGCCATGTTTAGATTTTTTTTAGAATGAGGCATGAACAGAGAGAGTAGGAAAGGCAGCTAGTCAATATCACCTACTGCCACCTCTTGGGTTACTCATTTCTGACCAAATAGTGGGATTTGACCATAACTCTTATAGCACACCCACAGACCCCAAGTGTGAAGTGCATTTTGCAGTAATGGGATGTGAAACTTGAGCCCTTAAATTCATAGTCCAGGGATTCTAACCAACTAGGTCATACTTAATCCAAAACTAAAATTAACATTTTCTACAGAGTGAAGAAGACATTTAAGCATTTACTGTAACATTTAAAAAATATCTTGTTTTATTCACTGAAGAATTAAGATTTGAAATATTTAACATTAATTTTCTGTACTGTAAAATGGTAAGTTGAGTAATCATTTAAACCTTTGATTTTCATTACATGATTTAAGCCATCTTTTAACTCTTTTTTTTTTTTTTACTTAAATCAAAATCTATTACTGGGGGGAGAGGGGGATGTCTTTACAATCCCAAATTACTATTATAATGGTAACTTTGAAACATTTCCTGGTTGATATACACACATCTAAATATAAGTCTACCAGTTTTATTTTGTTTTTATTTTTCAAAATTATTCTTTTTATTTAATTCAACCATACAATGATTTTTGGTATTTTCCACCCAAACCTAAAACACTCAGATACACATTTTAAGTTACAGGTCCAGAACCAATTACCTAAGTTGTTCCTTCTTAAAATCCACAGTTAATTTAGTAACTATGGTATAAATTTTGTATCCTTTAAAAAAAATTGTACTTGAAAGATTTCTTCTTTTCTTACAGCGGTATATACAATGCAGGTGGAATTGAGTTCTGAGAAAGGTCAGTAGCCTGAAATGTTAACTATAATAATAAAAACATCTTTTGCTAGCAATATTTAACAAACTTGTTTGTTTGTATACTGATTTTTTGTGAAATAACCACCAAATTTACCTGTCTTTATTGCACATAATCATTTAATAATTATAGTTCTAATAATTATATCCTCACCACTTAACTAACACTGGACTATTGTTCTAAAGCTTTCCGTGTAATATATAAAGCAAACATCCAAGACAAGATGTAATCAGCACCTACAAAACCCAGTTTTAAGATGCACATCAAGACAGGTTTTAAAGATAATGTAATACAATGAACAATAATCAGAGCATTTTACTGGAAGATACACTTCTGGAACCAACTTCAGAGAAAGGGTCATAGTAATATTACTTAAAGTAATCTAACATCAGCCCCAGATTCTGAAAGCAAGCCTTGTGAAATATTTTTACACAAATTGTTTTGTAATGCAAGAGTATATGTATACTTTAAGCATTATTTTATCATGACAAGTCTTTCATAATTTTCCATTTTTAAGATTTAATGTTTTTGAACACTTATCAGACATATTTTGAATATCCATTCATTATTGAAAGTTCATACCGTATATAAAGAAACATTTAACTTATAAAATACATACTCGCACTACATCGATATTTAAATGAAGCAGATTTTTTATTAAATGAATGAGCGTAAGTGTTTACTTCTAACTAAAATTTTACGTTAAGACATGAATCTCATATTTATCTTGTCACAACAGGAAACTGATTTGTAAAACAATAGATCACTAAATACTATAATTTTAATTCATTGAAGGAATGAAAGGAGCATGCTCTTAAAAAGTACAAATGAAAATACATGTAACAAGGGTACTTCTTGAATTGGGCCTGACATGGCCAGGTGGTTAGGACTCTCAACTCGCAATCTGAGAGTTCGAATCCCCATCCCACCAAACATGCTCAACCTTTCAGCCATGAAGGCATTATAATGTAATGGTCAATCCCACTATTCATTGGTAAAAGATTAGCCCAAAAGTTGGCTGTGAGTGGTGATGATTAGCTGCCTTCCCTCTAGTCTTTCACTGCTAAATTAGGGGCAACTAGTGCAGATAGCCCTTATGTAGCTTAGCGTGAAATTCATAACAAATCAAACTTCCTGAATTCATTATTTTACAACGTGTCTGATAGTTTACTTATGGGATCTTTATTTTCGCTCATTGTTTCAGAATTAAATGAATATATCCATTAAAAAGACTCTTGAAAACATAACTTGACTCCATATTTGTATATAATTAATAAAACATAATAGTTCTTTTTTCTTATTGTAACCCCTGCTTAAAATACAAGTTTGAAAAACAATTAAAGACCATGTAGCAGGGTATAAAATCAGTGGCAATCCAAGATTTCACTTAAACTACTATTTTATATCCTTCCTAAAAGCTAAACATTTCAGAAAACAATAAATTTTGGTTCCTGATCATCATGTAAATAGGTCTTACATTAAAGACCATAATATTCTTTATTTTAAACTGATGATCAGGACATAACCTTATATGAACATCAACAATTTGAAACAAATCATCTGCACCTGTGGAATACTCAGATAAAGGACAGACGAGTACAGTCTAGAACATTAATGTTGAAAAAAGTATACAAGAGTCTTATAATTATTCACATCAAAGAATACAACTAAGCCAGTAACAGTAGCCCTTCTATGAAAGTGTGACACTGACATCACCTAAGGTCTGTGTCCTTCTGCTATATTCTAAATACTAGGGGATAAACTCATGTTTCGCATGTGTTGCATGTACTGAAATTATTAAACTACTGAAACACTGTTTAGGACAAAAATGGATACAGACAGGATTGAATTCTCAACCTTATGTAGCATTATAAGAGATGGGTATATGTTATAAATTGATAAATCTTTTAACCCATTGACTTCTGATTCAACATATAGGGAATTGTCCACCTCCAGCAGTTGAATGCAATTGTGTCGTATACAACGTGCGGCTTGCAAAAATTCCACATGCACTTAGAGCAGCCGCCATCAATGTGTTAAATAATGCTGCTGTTGTATTATGTAGTTGGACACAGATGAAACAAATACCTACTAAGCATAATACAATTTTTGTATTTAAATAAAGAAGCGTAAAAACATGGAATGACTATAAATGAAGTATATCTCTGTACACATTATTTATATAAACACCTTGCCTTTGTGGATAATTGGCATCTTTGATTAAACTCTTGAGATTTTTTCTTGATAGAGCAAAATTATAAAATAGTTATATTAGTGAATTTTTTAAATTATGGTATCAACTGTCTGCATTTGTCACTATTTCAATATTTTTTTTTCTTTCATAATTGTATCAACTCTTTCTTTACTCTCCCCTAAAGTATTAGCAATGCATCTGGTCCACTACTACCAATAACAAAAGTGGTGTAATCTTTTATTCCCCTTGCAGGCAAACTTTGCGTATGAAGCATATTTAAACTTTAGGCCTAACTGTCGATTTTTAAATGCCTGTATTGAGATAGTTGGAAATATATAATACTTATAAAATAGTGAATTCTTAAAATTATAGTATTGGGAAGTGTACCTGTCATAATGTTTCTTTTGTAAATTTCTTATGTGTATTTGTGTCTAAATCACATTTTTATATCATCTGAAACTTGTAATTATTTTCTTTTCAAAAATGAAGTTGTGGCATTGGCTATTAAGGCTAATTGCCATAGATTATATAGATGGTAAACTTGTGCTTTGCATACAAGGTATTTTAAACTTTAGGCCTAACTGTATATTTGTAGCCACCTGTTGGAATTTGTATTGAGATGTAATGGCAACATATTATTTATAAGCCACAAAAAAAAATAAAGAATTAATTTCAGGTATTTCCCCAAGTGTTTTTTTATGCTATTGAAGTAACTGTCTTTAAAGTTAATGTTATAAACATGATCATTTTGCACTCATATGAACATAAAAGTACAACAGAAATATTGGGTTCTCATGTGGGCTAGCATTTATGAACACACACACACACAGACTGACTGACTGATGCATGTTGTTCTTTTAATCATATAAATACCTGAGTAACATGGTAAAGCTGTATAGTGGCCCTCACTGAAACAACTGAAGTTAGGATAGTTATATAATATGGTTTGAAATGTTGTCAAGTCCAATGTTAACAATTCAGATGCTTGAATTAAGTACTAAAGTATCACTTTCCTGTTGACAGCTTTGTAAAGAACAACACTCTTCCACAAAGCTACATGCTACATGAATTTTTTAATAATAATGATAATAATAATAATAATATTCATGAAAACTGCTTTGACTGTAGCTAGTAAAATGTATTAACAGTTCTTCACCAATAATTAAAAAGTTATTTAGTTCATTTTAAACAGGGCACCATGTTTACTTATAACCCTAGTAAAGTATATTTATACAATCTAAAGATTCAATTTTTAGAAACAGTAGAATTTCTAGAGTTAAAAAAAATCTTATTATTCCATAATCAAGGAAAAAAAGTTCACTACAGTAAAAAGTGAGTCACCAGTCTACACATGCCTTAAAATATAGTTAAGAGTTATCATACTTTAATTAACAAATGATTTTGTACATGTAAATTTTTTCTAACTATACAAATAAAAATCTTTAGAAAATTCTCTCTACAAAACAAAAATAATACCTGTTATTAAGATGTTTTCTTAAGTGTAAGTAACTTCTGAAGTTCAGCTTCTAAATAGGCTTTCTGCGTAAGAGTAAATAAATATATATATATATATATATATATCAAAATCAATAAACAACACTATTCTAGTGCAAAGACATTTCACTGCATTAAATCACAGTTTACAAAGAATATGTGCATATCACTTGTTTGTAATAAATAAAGCAGAAAAAGTATTAACACATATTTTTCAAGTGGTAGTTCTAAACAAATCCAGTTGAAAATTTGTGAAGAGTAGTTAAATTAAGTGGGCTCACATTAAGTAGTTAAATTAAGTGGGCTCACATTAAGTAAAAAAACTGCTGTTGGGATGAGGAGCCAGATCACATTTTTGTATTTATGATAAAATATCTAACCGATGTACTCAACAATCTGGAAGATACACAATTTCAGACAAAGTTTTATTGACTGCATCTGTCTGCAGCATTGGACCAGGTAATATTTTGGTTTCTGTGCTGAGCATAGAGATTAAACCACAATCACTCTCACACCCCATAAAACTACAAATCCAGTTCAGCCTTTTTTTTTTAGTGTTTGCAGCCAAACAATTTTTATTTCTTTTTTTTTTACTGAATTCACATCTTAATGTTAGGTGTTCCTTCCCTTTCAGAAAAACAAAAGCTATTAAACAACAGTTGACATATACTTTAGATATATATTGATATAAATATATATGTGGTGCACCTTTATGCACGAAATAGACCCAGTAGACCAACAATAAGTTTCTGGACTATAATTTGAAAATCCAAGGTTTGATTCCCTAGAATGTGGGTAGCCTATTCTGCAGTTTTGCCATAAAGAAACCCCAAAACAACCTAAGAAATATTATAACATGCACTGAATATAAAGGCTTTATAAAGGAATCACTGTATCAAATAATATCTAAATTTTTTTTATTAAAACAAAATAGTTTTACAAGGTGTTGTTATACATAAGTATTTATTCTTACTACATAATTCACAACAAACATTTTAAAAACATCTGAACATTTGTACGTTGTAAAAAAGGTGTTATAGCTATCATTTTTTTCTATTACTCAAAAATGGATAGAAAAAAAAGTTAATTGGAAGCAAAGTCTAATATTACTATTCAGACCATTAAAATAAGTTCTGCAAGGAGTTTAATAGTTGTCAAAGTGATAAACTTAATTTTAATATGTTAATGAATTATAATAATATTATGTCAAGGAATATCTATACATACTATATAAATCAGTGTTGAGAAAAATTTAATTCTATCATTGAATCCTTTTTCTTTTTTTATTATTATTGATATAAATTATTTAAGTGAAAAAAAAAGAGCTTTTTAAAATTTGTACTAAATGCTCTGTAATATCAAAACTACGGCCAAATGCGCAGTATCAATGAACAGCAATTCTTTAGGTTACACCAGCTAATGCACCCATTCAATACAAGGGGAAGATATGGGAGCCCCATGAGTGATTAAATCCAACCTTCACATCCCTCTATGCACTCTGCAGGGGCCCTAAGGGTACATGCCTGATTTAATGACAATCAGCCTAGCAATCTGCCAGTGACAAGTGGACACACACACAAACACAGATTTTTGTCAAATAATAGTTCAGATGTCTGTAAAATCAGACTGCTTAATGATCACTTTTACATAACTTTCTCAAGTTCATCCACTAGACATACTATTGACAAAGTGTGCAAAACAATTAATTAAATGCACAATGAGTTACTAGCTGTTTTTAATGACATACTTAACCCCATTAACAACTGTCCTAATGTGAATAGTACAATCAAAACTAAAACATCATTATCAAAGAAAAATATTAAGTTCTTTGAGAGTAAACCTTTCCGATATTTGATTACAATAAAAACTTAAAATTTTCACAGAAATATTTAGCACATCAAACATGGCTTTCCTAACCTTCTTCAGATGAGATTCTTTAACAGTTTCAGGTGCTTTAGTTTTGTAGCCTGGATCAGAGACCATACGAGTTAACTTCTCCAATTCAGATTTCAAAATATGGATCTTCTTTTGTACTTGAGAGGTCTGCACCATTTCTTTTCTATGTGATGTCTGCCAAACATCGAACACAAAACATGTCATAAATCAACCTTATTCAAAACTAAAATTAGCATACAAAAATTTAAACTCTACCAACAAGCTTAAATAATTTCTAAAAACCACAACACAACTATATTCAATTAATAAAATTTTAATAACAAATACAGTAAATCTGCCATCATTTGTTTTACCTCTTTGCTTTATTTATTTTCTAATATTTTGCATGTTGATTCTCATAATCAAAACTATGCATACGTACATACTGCAAGCATAACAACATATTTCAATGATGTGACAACAAAAAAAAGCTAATTTTCTGTACTTTGCAGTTTTTACGGTTTTGTAATTTTGCTCATACGTTTGTAAATTTAATGTTAATTTTGGTAAATTTTTCAAGTTCAAGAGTTAAGAACATATTATTTATTTAACCTTAATTTTTGCAGATTCTTTGTTCTATTCTCTGTTTTGTTCAACTATTAAACTTAAAGTAGTGTTAATTTGAATTCCCTGCACAGTTTTGTGTTTTTGTTTTACTTTACTCTTGTGTGTATGTGTTCATTCTTCCTTTTGTTTTTTTCTGTGATATGACATTGTATGTAGTTTGCCACCTGTATGAAAATATGTGAACATGACTATGGAGAGATAATAAATAATTTATTATTTACAATAATACAGTGCAGGACACTTACAGTCGTGTTTGCACAGTTTATTTTTTTAATGGTTAGATACACTACAAAAGTTAATCACACTTAAATCTATAGATATAAACACTAGCTCATACATACTAGAAGCATAATTTAAAAATAAAAGTTAAGTTTTCTTTATTAATATGCTTCTTATGCATGATATAAATTAGAAAATAGAAGTAATTTATGATCAACAGACAGTCATACATCTCTCTACCTGTCCAGCTATTCATTAATCAGTCAATCAATTCACAGATATTATATTATACATAGAAAAACATTTTAAAGGTATTTTATATTATCATCCGAATACATTGCTAAGTTATGGTAAAAACATATGTTCAACTAATGTTTAATTGTGGCTTAGAAACAGTTAAAGTATACAACAGTCATTTTTTTTAATAAATAATTTAACCATACATGAATTTTTTTTACTGTCACTTCTAAAGAAAATAATCCAATCTATTTTTTCAATTACATGAAAATGAATAATTTCCTTTCCAACTGTTCCTTGGTTTCTTAGAGAAATAAATTGTAATACATCCCACTGTTGTTATTTTTTAGCAAATAAGGATTATTTGATATATTAAATGTGAATCTACATCTTTGTAAGGAATGGAGATTGACTGTAGGTCACTTACCTGTCCTTTAAGAAAAACCTTTATTTTGTTATTAATGACACGAGCTACCCAATCAGGTCTCTGAGCATCAGATGAGTCAACAAAGTGGAAGGTTGTGGAATTCAATTTCACTAAGGTAGTTATCACAGTGGAAAAACTTTCAAGACTTCCAAGTAATTCGGAATCATTTACACCAACTATGGCTGCTACAAAACAAAAAAAGGTTTATTTCATTCTTAAACTGATGTTCATGGCATCAACTTTTCAATAAAACATTCTAAATGGCATTTGAATGTATAAATCAGAAAAGTCTCAAAAATCTATGTGAATATAATAGTATTATCTGTTGTATGTTAATGTAAATACTTTGCCCCCTGTAAATGGATCTTCATCAAATTTGATATGAAGGTTCATTAGGTCCATAGGGGGGTATGTACAAATTTTCAATTTTGCATTTTGTGGTTTTTATGGCCACTTTTGCATTTTTTTACCACTACTTTGCTCTCTGTAAATAGATCTTCATCAAATTTGATATGGAGGTTTATTTGGTCATGGGGAGATACATACAAACTTGCATTTTCACATTTTGTGTTCTGTAGTTTTTTAGGGCATTTTTTACAAATACATATAATGGAAGCAACTTTTCATGTCTTAAAATAACCTTTCATTAATCACAAATTTACATAACTTCCATCCAGGAGATGGGTACTCCAGCTAGTTGATAATAAAATTAAGGAACTTTTAAATTTACAGAAACACAATTTGATTTATTACTGCAAGTTTACCCATTGGTGAATCAACAATCAATGTTCAGGAATAGAAAATTTTGTTTTTTCGCAAACCAATAAAATTACTTTTGACAAGTCTACCATTGGAAGCAAGAGGCCCACTTTATAATTTATCCATTATTCTTTGTCAAAGAATGTAACTAAGGAAATGAGATTTTTTATTCTAAAGTACAAATGATCATTTTTATTAGCATTTGGAAGGTCAGAGTGTGAAACCCAAGTCCAATGGTTTTCATAAATTATCAACCAACATAATCAGAAACATAATAAATGATTCGTTTACCACAAATGGTTCTAAGCAGCCTAACTGGGAAACTAAAAAACTTAGCAAACACCTTTAACATTTACTTTAAACATTATCACTATTTTAAAATGATATTAGCCACCTTTGTTCTAGACCTAACCAAAAGTGTCTGTGTATTTTATGGTTAAATTTTCAACTGTATCATAGAATAGTAGACAGAATAGATGATTGAAAAAAAAACTTCAACCACATATTTATGATTTGCTAACTGTCCATTACACTTGTAACATCTTATTTAAAGCTGATTACTGTGTAAATACCAGCTCTACTAAATTTAACAAAATCTATATTTATGTGAAATATTGAGCTTACCTGGTAAACTTGCATTTGTTGACCCAAGTTCCAGCTTTAACCTGCGAGTTTCTTTGACAATTTCTAATACAAGTTTCATTGATTCTTCTACACTGGGATTCTTCCATATGTAATACTAGGAAATATATTAACAGGATATTATTCCATGTATCATACAAGTTAGCTTTCCATTGGACTGAGTTCTTATTGGGGAATTAATTTTTATTATAATTCCAAATTTACTTACTGTATCTTCATAAAAGTTGGTAAGCTTTTCATAAATATTAATGTTGTACACATAAAAATCTAAATATTTTAATAAAGTATCTTATATTTTTACCAAAGATCTGTCTGTAAATTTACTCAGTTTGACCAGACTCTAATTAGTATGAGTGCAAGGTAATTTTTATGTTAAGATAAAAAAATGTTTTTCATCTTAAAGTTTAAATATTTCATTTACACAACATCCAGAACCCTCTAAATGAATATCAATGTTTTGGTAACACGCTATAATTTTTCTCTTATTTTCTCTACTCTAACTTTAATTGTAGTAAAATCATCTGTAGCTAAAGTTTAAAAATATTAAATTAAACAAAAATACAACTTTTATTTTCTAGAATGGCTGCAGATTATAAGAGATAATTACAATTACGTATCCTAACATCTTCAGTCCTCTAAACTTTTCACAACTGCTTTCATTTAATTTCATTAGTTTACTGCTCTTTTGAATTGTATCTACCTACTACACTAGCATAATAAAGCAATAAATCAACCATCAAGAGCATAATACAAATTATGGTAAACAAACACAAGCACCTTGCACACATTCATCCCAAAGAAAGTTTTTATGGTTTTTTTTTCATTTAAGTTGTCTTGTTTGTTTGTTTGTTATTAAGCACAAAGCTTCACAAAAAAGGCTATCTGTGCTCTTCCCAACACGGGTATCGAAACCCGGTTTATAGTGTTGTAAGTCTGCAGACATATCGCTGTGCCACTGGGGGCTTAAATTGTCTTATCTGATGTAATAAGATTCTAATTTTTGCATCTTAGTTAATTTTATAGAAATAAATACAAAATATACACAAAAAAGAAATTGAGTACTTATGTGTACGCCTTCTACTTTTTTTTGTCAAAGTCTTGATGAAAGTTATTGTTGGTTCTTTATTAATTTTTTTATTTATTTCAAATATGCAAATTAGAACACTAAATAACACACACACAAGAGTACATCGTCCTATATCTATTATAATTTAATTGGCTTTCTAATTAATCTAAAAGTGGGCTAAAATAATGCCATTAGCTAGTTAAAATGACACAGCAATAGTAAGAAATAAAAGTGAAATAATTCATAAACTGCTGTCATAACAAACTAGCCTTATAAGGTATTCACAGTTAACTAAAATCTTCACTTTCTATTGGTTATAAATAATCCAAGAGCAAATGTTGGATAGATATATTGAAATATTTTGAAAAACAGAATGTGATAGGAAGGCATGGCATGCAATTTGAATTTCTTCTTTATATCTGTGTAAAACAACAAAATTGAAGGCTATAAATTTAGATTATGTCTTAGCAATACCTACATTAAAAAAGTATGTTTTGTGTTAAACTCAGGATATCATTTAGAGGAAGAAAAATATATTTAAAATGGGCAATTTGGAGCAAAAAAAGTGTCATGTGATACAGCGAATGAAGCTTGAGAATTTATTTAAATAACCACATAAAAACAGCAATCCTAACATTTCATGGACATACTTCATATTATCAAAGAATGAAATGTTGTCATATGTAAAACTGATTCATTATCTATATCTTTACACATTTGGAATTTTTGTTAACTTCAAATTTATCTTTTTTCAAAATTGGTAAATGATGTTTAGCTGTAGCACCTCATTGTAAAATAATAGAGGTTGTCCATAAATTACTGAACCACTTTTATTACCTGAATAAATAGAATGAGAACTAAATTGTGGTTAGTGGATGCTAACGCTTTAGGTTTCTTCATGACAATGGTACTGTTAGTATACCTCAATATGGGCACTGTTCATTTCTTGAAGAACGTCCAGGAAATAATTGATCTCTGCTCAAATACGCATCAGAATCTCTGAAGTAATCATCATAATTGCATTGGTTATTAAGGCACACAGCACTGCTATATCCAGTAAGTTTATCTTACAGAAAATGTCCCTCACATACCCCCATCCAAGCTAATAGGCAGGACATTCAGACATCAGTCTCCTTCATGCAGTAAACCACAACTGTTTATCTGGTGTGGTTCCTATCCTAACCAACTTAGACAGTGATTCAGTAATTTATGGACACCCTCTATATTCACTTTACCTTCTACCATTTGATTACAAAAAATCATAAAACACACTACTGATGTTTATGTAATGTCCTAAAGTATATTCACATATATAAGTACAATGTTAACAAGCATTTTACCTGAAGGTTTGTAAAGTCCTTAGAGATATTCATGTATACAAGTACACTAATAACAAATTACAATTGATTTTACATAGAAAGCAAATTTATTTTCTTGCATTATAAACAACTAGCAGCCCTCTTTGGTAGATCTGTTAAGAATCACTGTTCTATAGAGTCCCAGTTCTTAATGATGCATAGCTATGCTGGTAAAAGCATCAGCCACCTGCACTGTACATGTCTTATGAACAATTCTCCATCAAATACTAGTTCATCTTGTAAACTTTGCAAAATCTTCTGTTTTGTATGGTGATGACTTAAAAAAAAAAAGGGAAAACAAGTCAATTTTAAGTTCCTCAGCCATTGGACCATAAGATTTCAAACTTTTCCAAAAGTAATTGTGAACAATGTACAAATTGCATGGAATGAATGGCATTAAATGTGGCAAGGCCGATGATTTTACTTTCTCATTTACCTTGCTCCAAATTGTCTAATTAATATTGGGGTTGTCTGATCCCAAATAAAGTAACTTATCAAGTGGTATCTGGAGTCCAGCTTCTTGAAGTGTGTCAGTGATACCATTAGTAATATCTGCTCCCAGTGCATGCCCACACAAGAGTGCTTTCAAGAACTGTACTGCTACTTCTCCTCCGACCAATAACAAACAAAGAAATCACATGGACTGGAGAGTTACTTGTTTAATCATACTGTAGTACAAAAGCTGGTACATTTGACATCCTGTCACATGATATCTTATGGTATGTGATCTTACTTAAGCACATTGTGAAATGCTCAGAAATAACATTACCAAGAAACATTTTTTACTACTGAAATGACTCTCTGTCATGTCAAAGTTAACATTTTCAAGATCTGAAAATGTGTTTCCAATAGATGCTCACTTTTCACACAGAAATGCAGTAACTCCCTCTGTGCAATTGCGATAACTTCATTTTTTGACAAGGCAAAACAAAAAATGTTCACTAGAATTCGGGATGTTGGGTTGGAATGTGTTCAGAGGTGAATAACTATCAGAAATATATTTTTAAATTAGGAAAATGTTAACTTTTGAGATAACACACCTCCTTATATAGAAAAGCTAGAATTCCACATTTAATTGGTGGAAAGTCCAGTGCAAAATTGTACTTAAGTAAGCTCCCTTCAGAAAGTGCCCAAAAGGAAGCCCATGAAGCGTGGCACACAGTGGCACGGGATCCGTAGAGGCAAACCAATGATAGACAACATCTCGTCTAGACCAGAGTATATTCTTTGCCCAAAACGTAAAAGTGGAAAGAGGAATAATAAGCCCCATGTCAGAAGAACAGGCAGAATGAGAACATGACTGTTCAAGTGCTTTAACACAAGTGGTCAGCAAACTAGTATGTGTAGTGTGGTTCGGGTGCATTCAGACCATACCATGACTCTATCAAACAAACTAACTACAGTTTTGGATCATATTTTCTGTACATTATGTGCTCACCTCTACTCAACTGAACAGGCTCTGGCTGCAGGATGGCACAAGAGATATTAGTTATGGTTTTTAGGGATGATCCACATTACACTGACATTGTCACCATTGCCCCACTTCTCACCGTATTGCGTCATGTTCAACCAGTGAGGATTCTCCAAGGTCCATCACCCCAGTGGCAAGATTCTCCCATGTTCCACATGAGGAGGAAAGGGAGAATTGGCATTAGAGAGACCCATAGGAACAAAACAATTAAGTAAAGATAGGACAGAAGAAATAGTACCAGCCATAGTAGTTAATAAAATGGAATGAACTTCCCCTAAAGATACATCTGGAGCATGATGAAGCACCTCAGAAATAAGGTGTAAGGAGGAGAGGTAACAAAGAAAAGTGGTAAGAAAAAGACAGGAAAACTGAGCACTGGAGAGCAAAACAGATGATAAGTGATGATAAGTAAGAGAGATTGCAATGCTTAGGAATAAAAAAAATGGAAAATTAAAATGGCTGCAAACCACAACACGAGAGTCAGATAAACAAGGTGGGTGAAGTATAAGGTCACAGTTACAAAGTTTTTCCAGAAAAAAAAAAATTCAGTATGAACACTAATCAGATGAGGAAGGAAAGAAGATGTAATCATGAAGATTAGGATTGTGAAGCAAAGAACATGAAGTGTCATAAGGCACAGGCTAAAGTGAAATAACTGAACTGTGAGATCAAGTCTTGAAATAGAGTGGAAGGTTGAGGTCTTTCCTCGACCAGAAGTGAGTTATCTAAAGCAAATCCAGAAAGAGGGAATAGGCAATCAAATTTATTTTTCTCTTGTTCAATTTTAAATTAACCCTGTCGCCACGGGTATCCTTTACTGCCCATGACATAAGGTTTTAGTATCTTACATTCAAAATCTTATCAAACTACTTTTTTGTTTATGTGATGCCAATTAGTATAGCATAAAATCTTAGCTAATAATCCATATTTTAATAATATATAAGTTTAAGTTCTTAATTCTACAAAGCAATATCAAAAACTCCTGAACTTCCCCTAGTGTGACACATTTTCTCTTCTCTATTTTATCCACCAACCCTCCAAAAAGTACGAAATTAAATGCAAATTCCTCAATATAAAATCTTCAATCCTCAGGCAAACCATAATTTTTACAGCTTTCAATTTTGTTTGGTTACAGAGCTATCAAATAGAAATTCAGACACACCCACCTGTTACATCCTCTCTTTCAGGATTTATTAATAGTTCTCTCTTACATTTAATTATATATTACAATAGAAAGCCAAAATTTTCATCTATCAAATGATGTATTACATAATGTTGTGTTCTGAACAGATAATCGTCAATTTCACTCAGAGTACAAGCTCTGTTCCTGTGGGAAAGCTAACAACTGCTTCGATGAACTTGTAACAGCTCTTGTTGCATAGTTACAAAGCCATAAAAATTTTGAGAGTTAGAGGAAATTGTC